CTACGCATAATTTACGACAAAATTCGTTTGCCGATTAATTTGTTTGCACATTCTATGACTTGATATCTCTGTATTGTTTAGACGTGAATTTTTATTATCTGACCTAGTTTTCTGAACTTATCTGTGGTTAGAGTGGGATCATGTTGAATGTATCCCGTCCAGCGCCCTCTGCCATGATAATTTCCTGAATAGGCATTCCCAGTACATTTTCAGGTACTTCCTAGTCAGCATTGCCATTGAGGGGAATAAACCTTAGAAACGAGTTAGAACTGGTAAAAGTGACACGTGAAGGCAATCCTTTCGACCTAATTTCTTTTAAACTGTCAAGCTCAGCATGTTTTCACCCGAATCGAGGGAAGAAGTCTCGTTGTACTGCAGCCAAACGGCTGCAGTACAACGAGATTTATCCGTCCTCATCTGGTGAGATCGACCAATGAATCTCTTCTTCATGCACTTTCATCCCAAATGAAGGCCCCCCTAACATCTTTTTTGTTTATAAGTAGGTCTTCAAGACCACCGGTAGACCAGATATATGTGGTTTATTCAACATATTTCATTTAAAATTAGAAGATGATCTACTCAATGACATGAATTGACCTTGTAGATCACTTCTTTTAAACCTTTTTAGATTGTTCTTTGATTATGAGGAACTAACCATAATCACCCTCTCTCGGTTTCTGTTTTCCTCTCAAGTTCCAATTTCTGGCGATGACTTTTCATCCTATCTAATTAATGTGCTTTACTTGCAATGTCTCAAATTGTTTTACATTTTTTTATGCAATGAGCAAATTTCTCACTTTATCCTTCAATTTCCTGCTCTTTCCATTTTCATTTAAAAAGGGTGTTCGCGATGTACTTAATCTTTAGTTTTATTAAATTTTAGTCATATGAGGCCGATCATTCCTTTAGATCGACTTATCCATGCAAGAAGTTTACCCATCTCAGATTTGTATGTGCCCATAATTCCCAAGAGTCGCTGGTATTAGTAATTAATATTGTTGGTTATTCTTCAACCTTTATAAAGTAATTTTATTCACAGAAATTTTATTGGTTGCAGAAAGGACTTAAATACTCTATTTTATCTACTTTTGGGAGGCTGTGTAGGTAAATTTGTGAAGAGTGTTGTCCATCCTTCAGGATCGTATTAAGGTACCAATTTATTGTGAGCGACACCAGATTTAAGGACAGTTTTCGGGAATGCATGCATATCAAGCATTTCCCCCGGTATCACTGGTTTTCCTTTTGTAAACCTCGTTTCATCATCTGTTCCTCACATATCGTAAATTTGGTGGTATTTTTTCTTGTTTGTATGAGTTTCCAAATTGCATCAGAGTCAGATTAACTTGTTCATCTTGTGAAAATCCATAATTTATTAGCTCTAGGATTTTTATAATCATACATTCTTATGTGCAAAATTCAATCCTTTGTTAGGGATGTCTGATGTTTCGAAATCAAGAGTGTTCAATGTTGACTACGGTACTCTAACTTTACTCTAACTTTTCCGCATGTGAGTTAGCCTGCTAGTAAGCCTTACTTTTACCCAAGGAAGTTTGCCACTATGGTTCGCATAGATCCCATATGCATGAAGCTTCCTCTAATGCCTGTCACTTATCAATTTTGAGTACATTCCTTCCTTTTCATCTGTCATCATTGCTAGTTTTCACAACTCCATAAGAGTACCTATATCATGCTAGTGTCTGAAATAAATATATAAAAACTTATATACCTTATTCATATCCCCCCTTAGGTTTCACACAAAGGGCGGAAATAGTATATTATTGACTTTATCCGAATGATATTATTTTATTTTGGTTTCAAAATCCAGATGGTATACCATAATGATTACACCATATGTAAAATGTCTAGAAAAAATATTCATTTACGAGTGTCTTTTTTTATCAGAAATTTTTTTCACTGCCTTGCAATCTTTGTACCGTCATTAGATCTTAAAAGTGAAGACCAAGATTTGTAACTGTTTATTGAGGATGTCACTTTTCTAGATGGTGTCGAATAGAACGCTGGCGAAAAAGCTTAGAATGTACTAAGTCAGTTGTTGGAATTTTCCAAGAATACTATGTTAGAAACTTAGAATCGGCTACTTCTAACGAGGGCCACTTTTCATCTCAACCAATATGCGAAAATTACGAAGTATGCAATGTAAACCGAGGCTACCTCATTTTTTACAAGAAATTTATAAGTTAGGCAGCAAAGTATTTGGTTTATTTCTACACCAATTTATAAATTAATTGATCAACTGAATTATAAAATAAACGATTCAATATTGTGCTTTTTTACTAGGACGACAAAAAAAAGATCACCAAA